GACATATTGTCAGGAGGGACCGGGACCAGTCATTGGAGAAGGATATCATGTTTGGTAAGGTGGAGGGTCAGAGAAAAAGAGGAAGATGCCCAACAAGATGGATTGGCCAAATGGCAGCATTGGTGGACTCAAGCGTGGTAACAGTAGTGAGGTTGGCCCAGGATCTGGCAGTGTTTCGATCTGCTGTGCATAAAGTCTCTATGAGTCAGTATTGACTCCATGGCACCTAACAACAACAACACACTCTTATAAACCATATGATTAAATGAAGTTTTGATTTTAAAAGTAAATTTAAAATTGTATGGATAATATTTAGAGTGTCATTGTTTGTATTAACTGCATTTATGGAAACAGATATTTAAGTTACTAGAGTGACCAAATATCTCATTTTTCTCAGGACTGAGGAGGTTCCCACGACTTGGGACTTTGTTTTGAAACTGACCAAGCCCCAGGCAAAATAGTGTGAGGTGGTCACTCTGCCTGTGATAAAGCTCAATATTACTCATCAAAGCTAAGAAAAAAAAATCCTTTTATAATAGCGAATTATATGATTTAGAATAATGTTGATAACTTCTACTTATTTTTAGAAATCACAGATCTAGAATGTTAGCATTTTAATTATAAAATAAAAATTAAAAGTCTAAAATAAAAGAGTACATTTTACAACATTTTCTTGATTTCTTTGTTTTGAAGGTAAGTCAAAAAATGCTCTGCACTCTGACTGTAGAATGTATTTTAATCAACTTTTAGAAAATGCAAATACTTCTTTATTAAACATAATTTCCTTGCTTTTCAATACACTTTGTCCATCTATCAACAAGCTTTCACATTCCCTTATTAAAAAATATTTTAGGCTGAGTTGTGAGTCACGAATTCATTGCTGTCAATTCTTCATCAAAGGTGAATGTTTGTCCTTGAAGGGCTGCTTTCAGGGGACCAAACTGGTGGAAGTCTGATGGAGCAAGATCAGGACTATAGGCAGGATGCTTTAACACCTCAGAAGGAAGTTTTTGCAGTGTCAACAGTGTAGACAAAGGTATGTGGACATGTATTGTCATGCAAGATTACAATGTCCTTGGATAGCAGTCCTCTGCATTTAATCAAGAAAAAATTCAAGCCTCGACTTTCATTATTGAAAGATTCTCTGGGCAAATTATTGAATGATGCAGAATGCATCAAGAAAAGATGGAAGGAATA